TCAGGTATGCTTATGCTTGAAAATTTAGGGTGTTACGTTCGACCCATCATGCTCGAATTTTTTGTAACAGCAGAAGATGCAGGTATGTAAGGAAAGAGGAGAGATATTCTGGGTGCAGCATTAAGGCACAATGAATGACCGAGCAAATAAACAGACGTATGACTGTCATTCCACCAGGTAGAAACAGTTGCTTTCGAAAGGAATTTGTGGTATCTAATGAGTGTTTGTGCTGAATGCAGGAATGGCTGCATGTGCCAAATTTCCTATTAATCTTCGAGCATTTTAAATGAACTTATTATTTTGGGCAACATAAACATACTTTTTTCACTGCTACCAATTACTGACGTAAAAGCGCAATGGAATTTGTCGAACCCGACAAGCTTGTCGTCATTATAAATGGGAATTAGGAAAGTCTAGCGATCTAGTATTGCCAAATGCACAATCGGAATAACATCGCAAAATTTTGCATCAAGTGGCACTGAACGGCAGAATGATAGGGGCTTTTTAAGAACGCAGACTGTCTCTATATAAATATATAGACACTTTGAAAAAGCTGAGATTTGGGGAGCTGCAGTCGTTATGCGTAAAGTAATTTTACATTGTCTTGCCTAACTGAGGAATTTCTACACACTTTATCACTTTGCTTATTTTCTAATGTTTACTACCCGAATATAAGTAACTGGCGTACAATAATCGTCCGCAGATTTCATTGTTGAACTCACTGCTACATATGGAATGCCATTATGGAGACAAGTACTAATGCCTGCTTTTCTAGTGAATGATCACCCCTTCGAGGGATTCGTTTGGTAGTTAAATCGCACACTATTCACATAAGTGAATTTCGCTAACAACTCTTGCAGTGTTAACCACTGTGTACGACAGGTGATAACATTAATTCATCTCCACTGCTGCGGCTAACACGTCAAATGAAGGATTTCGATGGTTTACGGTCCTCCGCTTTCAGTCCAGTAATTTCGGATTTTGTTGGCTATGATAGCTCTCGTATTTCCCATAGTGGAGGTTGAATTTATTAGTCTGACAAAAGAAAGCATTGCACAAATGAGAATTTGGAAGTCTTCTGACAACCATTATTGTGATGCGGCACAAATGCGATGGTATTCTGCACATTCCGGCACAGGCCTCCATGCGTGAGAGTTGACATTTTCGCACCGACTTTGAAGCAAAATGGAACGCACGTGCTTTAGATAAAGTTGCCACCTCGTTTCGTCCTCGCCGTCAGTCTCCTTCTCGTCCTTCACTTCCACCGCCTTCCTCTCCCTGTCCATCTCCTCCTCACTCCCAACTTCCCAATCCGCCTTTCTAGAAACGTCAGAAGACCAAAACGAGTGAAACAAATGGAAGTCGTAGTAATTCGGGGTTAGTTATACTACTACCTTCTCCTTCTCCCACTTCTACTCTTCCTGCCTTCCCTCCTCATCTACGCCCATTCAACATTTCAAGACTGGCTTAACTTTTGTTACAATCAGTTCGACATGTGTAAGGATAATTATGAGGAGCCTCTTTATGCGCATCAATTGGTAGACATGCGTATTTCCTCCAACTAACTCAATTGTTTAGGTTTCTAGCAGTTGTATGGCTAGGAAGGTACATGAATAAATCTATGAATAGAAGGAAAGAGAGGGAGGCAGATAACGTAGTACACATCACCGTTTACAGATATTCAACTTTGACCTTACGATAAAATGTACATACCCTTCAACTAAGTCTATTGTTTTTTGCTTCATTTAGTAGGCTTACTTTACCTTACCTTTTTTCCTAGACCCTTCCTCTTCTTTTATGCTTTCAGCTACATAGTTATGCCAATTTGCCCCCACCGGAAGGGTTCATTCACCGCCATTGCTCTCCCTGGTCAGAGGCGACGATTCTCTAAGAGGCAGGGTTAGGAACACTCATCAGGAACTCACATTCACTAGCTGCGTAGCAATGTTTAGGGGTGAGTGGGCGATTCCTCCAACCAAATCATGCCTTAACTGCACCAAATATACCGCACTCGCCGATTTGACATCTCTTGTGTGCATTCGCAATCACCAACCCACGGCTAACAGCAGTAGCAATAGTCGTAGTGACGGGTAGATGGAGAGGGAGAGGAAAACGGTAGAAGTGGAGGGCGAGAAGGAGACTGACGGCGAGGACAAGACGAAGCGGCAAGGGGGCGTCGATGATGAATTGGGTGGTGGGAATGGAGGCAACGCTCAGAAGCGCGAGAAATGGTAGAAAGCATTGGAATGCGTAGTTCAGCAA